AGCTAGTCATCTAGGTTTCTGGCTTTTGCAACCAAACAATCCCTAAGAGGTCTATGTCTCAGTGAGGGCATATTTCCATCCCATTTAATCCAATTCAACCAATGTCTGTTGAACGCCTGACATACTTCTTATGTCTTATAATTTGGATCCAGTTATGAGCCTGGCCTACGACTCGAATTGATGGAAAATTCAAAGGGAAGAGCAGGCAGAGATTATGAAGAGACATAAATAAACGAAACAAGACAGAACATGGTGAGAGTCCTTGGTTCTTCTCACCCAGGTCACATGTTCTGAGTTCTCTTTAACATTTTCCCCAATGGGTGCCAGTGGGCAAGAGGTGTGGGTGGCCGTGGCTGAGACACAGCCCTTCGAATTGTCATAAGTGCAAACCCGAGGAATGAGAGGAAGTTTAACACAGGAAATAACAGCCAGCAGCAGAGCTTTCTGACGATGAAGAGCACAATCCAGTGAAGCCCTGTAATTAAGCAAGATCTTTTTTTTTTATTTGTTCAGAAACTACTGCCTTAATCTCTGAAGATAATAAACCTCACTTAAAGCCTTGAGTTAACTCGCTGTCCATAATGACTGAGATACAAATAGAGCTTTTATCCCACAAAAACCATTACCAGGACACAACTGATTAAAAAGTTAACCAAAATCCCTATCCCAAGTTAGAACCCTTACTTCTAGGAAGAGCCTGAGGGGAACAATAAACACACACACAGTTTCTATTTGTGTTCTGACTGCAAGGTTCAAAGCAAAGGAAACCCAAACCAAGTCAAAAGTTGGGAAAGAAACTCTAAATTGGCCAGGAGCAGCCAAACTTCCTCTTCTGACTTATCTGTGCTTAAATAACTAACCCCAGAACAGGCGCTACTGCTGTCCCCAAATCAAAGGCCCCTGCTGCCACCCCCACCGGAAAATGGATTTTCTGCAAAGCTCCTCAAGCTGCTTAGCTCTGAATTGAAGTCTCGTACAGTGTCTCAGGTCAGTAGAGCCTGGGTCACATGCTTGGGTGCTACCTGCAAGAGATACTGGAAAAACAAGCCATCATCTTTACTCATGGGGAGGCAGGAGTCATAAAGTGGGAAATTCTCCAAACTCAGGAAAGTTATTCAAAAGGTTCTAGTCATGCAAAAACATGCACATGTCCATTAGATCACCTAAAGGACTTATTCCTCAGTTGTAAAATTCAACTAATTAACAACCTAGTTTGCTAAAAGACTGCCAACTATCCCTCAGGAACAATTCTCCCCTTCTTCTTAGTAGTATAACTCCCTTCAAGTTTAGCTGGGCACATGACCGCCCAGCTAGAGACTACATTTCTCAGCCTCCTTTGCAAGTATGACCATGTGACTAAATTCTCACCAATGGGATGTAAGAAAAAGATAGCATTTGTAGCTCCTCATGTTTTCCTTAAAGATGAAAAGTGCTTAGCCTACCTTTCTTCTTCCTTCTGGATTAGAAATGGCAACAGTTGGACCAGCTGCCTTGGATCTAGATACGGATGCATGTGTTGACGTTGTCAGAACCAACCCATAAGCCTGATTCCTAGATAACCTCACAGGCAGTGGTTCCAGGTGAACTTAGAGGGCAGTGCTGCATTTCCAGCCCTGTTAGAACAGCTTTGGGCTGTTACATCAAAATGAAATAACTCTGCTCTTATTTAAGGTGATGTATTTTATGGGCTTTTTGTTACAGCAGCTTAGGCTCCACACTGCCTAATATACTTGGTCATTCCAGAGACAGCACGTGTGAGTCTGGAGCTCTTAAGATGACTGAGGCACTAGAGGTAGATTCATAGGCTACTGGTGTTCTGATTGCCTTCTCAAGTCATGCATAACAAACAGGAAGGCCTCTCCTGTGGGAGCCTAAGTGATGTTCTAAATCTCCAGGTCAGTGCATGGAATATGGTAGGCACTTAATAAATGCTAGCGAGTTCTCTGACCCTTCTTTCCAGGAATCATGGTAGCTGAGCGTCCTGAGGGACCACTATTGGCCTTACTCAGGCCTTTGGGATGTTTCACAAAACTCTCCCAGAGAAGATCACCAAATTGTCACAGCTAGGTTCAAGCTTAAATTCACTCAGATAAGAACTTAGAAGAAAAAAAGGGAACTAAGTTTGAGTCTGATCCTATGTATTCCCAAAATATCTAACTTGTTTGGGTGGAATACTGTAAAGATGGGGTGCCTGGCCTACATTTGAATCCTTTTAGGAAAGAAACTCTTCTACAATATTTAAATGCATGCTAGCCAAGGAAACTTCTGAGCTTTCTATCCACAGGGGAAAAACACCCCTCCCTGCTTAGATAAGCCTAGTGGTGGAAGAAGGTTCTATGGCGTCACAGGGAGCCCATGATGCTGGATGAATGGGGGAGTGGCAGTTTGGGGGTTAAGGAGAGTGGAAATAAAAGGACTCATCAAAAGATAGAAGATGAGGCTTCTAGCAGTGACTGTGCTGTAATTATTCATGAATCTATCCAATCCCCACATTAGGTTAAACATCCATCCATCCATTCATTCATCAGTTTAGTGATGTTTGTTGAGCACCGACAATGTGCCAGGTATCATCCGAGGTACCAAAGATGTAGCCGTGAATAAAACAAAATCTATACGGTATATAGAGAAAATTAAAGCAAGGTTAGGAGATGGGGAGTGACAGGGATGCTCTCTTAGATAGGCTGGTGGGGAAGGCTCTCTGAGTAGGGGAAATCCCAACAGAGATCCGAACGAAGTGAGGAGGGAGTGTCAGGCAGGGAGTGTCATATATATCTGGGCATGCCAGGCAGGCGGAGCAACAAGGACAAAGGCCCTGAGCAGGGGACTTACTTGGCAAGTTTAAACAGAAAGGAGGCTGATGTGGCTGGAGTATAGCAAGGCAGGAGAAAAGTCAGTGGAAGTGCCTGCAGAGAGGGGCTCTGGGAGTAGGCGATACAGGCCATGTATGTTGTAGGAAAGGACCCAGTTTCAATGTTCTCAGAACAGTTCCTGGCCACTGAGCACAGGGCTTGGGTCTTACTCACTCTAAGTCCCCTGTAGGGCTTTAACACTGCAGACATTCTGCAGAGAAACTGGAATAAACTGAATAAACTACTCTGGACTATACTCTAAACAGGCACATCAGGTACACCCAGCCACGAACAATACTTATATGTTTCCTTAGGGATTTTGGCAATTCACTGCACTAATAAGCTTGTCTTTGGCCATCAACTAGTTACATTTGCTGCAATAGAAGACTGATGATTTTTCTTTCCACATAACTGCTGACCTTGGAACGAGAAACACAACTGCATAAGACATTAAGTGCCCAAAATGTCATAAGACCTGGAGCAGCGATGGCACAAGCTTATTTTGGTAATCATTTGGGCAGAGTCAATAGAAGCATTCGTTGAATAATCCACTTCTGTATTTTAGGAAAATTGAGTCTTGAGTCAATTACCCAGGAAATGAAATGAACACTGCTGGCATGACAGGTTCTACCTATTGGTAGAAACATTTTTCATGCCCAGATTCTCTAAGAAAATTATGAAATGACATTGCTTAGTCTAGAAATTTTCTTCGGGATATATGAATTTAGTGTTTATTTTAAAACTATACCCTCTCCTTTTTTGAGAAGGGGATTTTCTTTTTTTCCTGAGGCAAGAATGGCCTTTGACTCAAGGTTAGATGACAATACTCCATAAAGGACATTGAGGGCTTTGTAATGGTAACAGGAAAAGCCCAAGAAAAGAGAGAACCTTGCTGAAGGATACATGCCCAAGAGGGAAGGGTGGGCTCCGGTAGGGAGGTGGGAGGAAGGCAAAGAGTGAAGAAGATGAAGGAGATCTGGAAGTGACTATTATTTCAAGAGATGGCCCTGATAAGCTTATTGTAGAGCACGGAGCCCCCGGTCAGCGACCTTTAACTGGACTCAGGTTACATTTGCTGTCAGTATTCAGTTGTCACAGAAATGGTCCATCTTTTTGAAAGACACATGCAAAGTATAGCTCAACTGAAACTATGTCTGTAATGACATTAGGGTTTTCACCTGTTCAGTGTAATATCCATATAAGTATTTAAGGCCATTCTGCCTTCTAGACACTTACCACTTGCTATGCCAAGTTGGGTGTTGTGGTCTCCAATTTTAGCCTAATAGTGCCGTGTACTCAAATATAGAGTGGCTGTTGCAGGGGATGGGGGAGGCAGACTGAGGGGGAAAGGGAAGTGATATATATGGGATGGCTTTAATTTCAATGAGACAATGTCTTAGAGATTCTGTTATCTTTACAAAAGTTTTTTATAGTAGTCTTGAATAGTTCTATTTTTCAGTTTCTCCATTTTGTTTTCTTCCTCAGAAGAGATGCCATCTCTTATATTTTAAATTTCCTGTAAAGAATTTAATTTTATAGTGCCATCAAGACCAAAAATATGTCAATTTAGTGAGGGAAGATATTTCATTGCTTCAGAACATCCACATTTTGAAAAATAAACATGTTTCTTTTTCTCCTTGGTCAATTTGGCAGCATGAAGTAACTTATTTGTGGCTGTTATTTGTTTCCACAATTTCCCTTAATAGTAGGTTTCACAGTCTTTATATTCATGAAGCATTTCCTTATGTCTGGACCAAATCCCTTTTTGCTCTAATTTGAGGCCAAAGACTCTGTGGAGTTGCTCACAATCGTCTATTGAATAGATAAACACTTGGAATTTGTTTTGAAAGCTCACTTCAGCCTTGTCTTTACTAGGCTAAACAATCCTGCTCTCGCAGCCTTCCTCAGTGGCATTATAATGCATTCATGATCATGTGCTCCTGTATGAAACTGGACGCAATTCAACAATCTCAGGACTAGTTCAAGAAATGCCATACACAATTTATTTAACTTAATCCTATTATCCCTCGTATTTGAATGGTACTTTAATTTACAAGGTACTTTTATAAGCAATGGCCCATTTGGTCTCTGTAACAAATCTACGAGACGAATATTACTTATTTCTCTTTTCTTTTTTCTTTTTCTTTACAGATGAGGTCACTGAATCTTGGGCCACACTGCCATTAAGTGGGAAAGTAGAGATACAATCCCACTCTTTTGAGACAAGAACCAGGGAGATTTCCACTACCTAGCAGCTGCCTACTATGTGCAAGGCCCTGTGCTGGGTGTTGCAAAGGATTTACATGAGTACCTGATTCCCACAGACCAGCTTGCACAGGTAAGGAAAAAGGTCTTGGGAAGGAAGTGGAGTGAGTTGGGCTCTGAGTGTTAAGTAAGGATTGGGTAGGCAGAGAAGAAAGTTAGCATATTCCTGGTGTAAGGAGACCTGTGTGTTGTGCAAGATTACTGCGTGTTAAGCTTATCTCTTCACAAGTAGGGGGCATCCTTTGAGAGGTGATAAAGTTCCATGGTGAAGAGCTCAGGCTGTAAAGTCCAGAGGCTTGGATATAAATCCTGGTTTCATCAAGTACTAACTTTATGGTCCAGGGCAATTTCCTGGATCTCTTTTTGCTTCATTTTCTCATCTGTAATATTGGAGGATTAAATGTAACAATTCATGTAAGCATACAATAAATGTTAGCTATCATAGCACCAAAAATCCTCAAGAGACTAATTGTATCCAACATATAGTAGGAATAAAGGGTAGATAGGGGTTTTCCTAACTCACATCTCAGAGTATCTTATTTCCCAAGGTTGTGACATAATTCGAAAGCATTCTTATTCTTGCCACCAGTTCCTTAGGCCAAAGCATAATATCATTCTAATTTTCACTCTCGTTTTACAGGAAAAGAACCTGAAGAATAATCTGGTGGATGAACTCGTTATTCCCTCCACAGAGACAACTTTTAGTCTCACTGTTGAATATTCGTGAGTCCAATGAACCTAAACTGCACACACAAAAAATCTAATAGGATAGAAAAATAAATCAAATTTTTAATTGGCCTAAACTGTCATTTACTTTCCATCTTAGCATGTAGGTTTTGGGTATTTGTTGTGCGTGGTTTGCATTTTGTTTAAATTAGAATGGCTGTTTCTATAAAACTCACCTCTCACTTGTGACCCCAACCCTGAATTAGAAATAAAGGAATACAGTTGTCATCACAGCGCACTTACAGGGATTTGAGCCTAATCCTGAGTAGTCCCAACAAAATGTGTCATGCATGTGAAAGCCTTCTATCATGAGTGCTCTGATGAAAGGAGAAACAAAATCACCAATTTAGAGGCCAGTGAAGAAGGCTTTTGCTGGAGAGGTGGGAGAGGCAAGTATAAGGTTGATCAGTGTCTTTACATTGGGGTGGAAGTATGGAGTATCACAAATAGTCTGCATTGCCATGGATGAATGGTACATGTGTACAGGCTACTAAATAATCATGGGTCTGGTTTTCTTCCTCCAACGGACCACGTAGTGTGGTGAGAGGCATGTCATTTGGAATTGCAGGGTGGGTATGTTAGTGCACTATGGCTGCAGCAACAAATTACCACAAACTTAGTGGCTTGAAACAATGTAGATTTAATTATTTTGCAGTTCTTTAGAGTAGAAGTCCAACATGGGTCTCACTGGTCTAAAATCAAGAAGTTGGCAGAGCTGCCTTCCCTTCTGAAGGCTCTAGGGGAGAAGTCATTTCCTTGCCTTTTCCAGGTTCTAGAGGCCACTGGCGTTTCTTGGCTTCAGGTCCTCTGCCTCTCTCTCCAAAGCCAGCAAAAGTGGGCCCAGTCATTCTCATACTGCATCACTCTGACCCATTCTACTGCCTCCCTTTTCGGTTTATAAGGACTATTGTGATGACATTGGGCCCACCTGGATAATCCAGGAAATCTCTCTATTTTAAGGTCAGCAGATAAGCAACCTTAATTCCATCTGCAACCTTCATTTCCCTTTCCATGTAAGGTAATACATGCACTATTTGCAGGAATTAGGACATGGACATCTTTGGGGGACCATAATTCTGCCTACCAGAGTAGATATTGGTGTCAAAAGATATTCTCAAAACCATTTGTTCAACAGATGCATTGATTAGTTAGGTTATAAGCCTCTCTTTTATCTAAAAATATCTACTAAAATTGTTAAGCCTACCAGACATGGACACCTTGGTGTCGGCACTTATCTGGAACAGCAGCTCTGCCTATTAACTTGGAGAGAGGCAAGGAAAGAACACAAAGAGAGTCAAGGCAATATGTCCTATGCTCAGCCTCTGTACCCAACATTTTATTCTTTGTTTTTGTTACGTGCACTAAGAGTTTCCCCTGCTCAAAAGCACCATCAGCTCACACTCTACGGAATATCAAGAGCTTCTGTACAAAGTTCTGTGGAGCTCTGCCACACCCATTTGCCATCACCTTACTCCAGCTAAAGTGGCTCATAATAATCCCAGGTTCATCTCTTGTTGGCTTTTCCTCCTTCATAAGTATTGAACTGTCATTTTCAAAATGCCTCAAGTCAACAGAATTCCAACTCTGATCTTGTTTAAAGAAAAGAGATACATTCAGTTGTACTTTTAAAACTCAAGTCCTGACTTAGTCTATCCAGCTGAATTGGGATCATCAGAAAGGAGTAGCAAAAAAAAAAAAAAAGATATTAGAGATATTTCAGGAAAGTTAAATTTAATTTTTAAGTTGAACATTATAATATTTTTAAAGTTCTGAGAGCTCTTGAATAATTTTTCTTCATTCATTCCTCTCTTGTACCAGAGTAAAGATCAAACCACTGACATCAAAGAAAATATTTTGTTTTGTTTTTAAGATCCTCATTCCACCAGAGGATACAATTCCACAAATTTTCTTGGTAATGTATTCTGAAGTTTAACAGTTCTTCTGTCTGGAATTTTTTCCTGGTCCAACCTAATCTAAATTTACTTATTCTTTTATAGTCTTAGTCAAAATGTAAAAAATCTGGTTTTCAACTTTATACAGAAGATATTTCTGTACTTAAAGACCCTTATCAGTGTTCATCCTTGCTAGGTTTGTCAGATCTAAACCTGGAGAACATGGTGTATATTTTGACAAGACTTGTGCTAACAGTAATGCTCTGTGGTGTCTAACCCGGACTCAAACATTGTGTGTGTGAGTGCATGTGGGTAACGGCATGTACATGTGCGAGTGTGTGTGTCTTTGTTCTTTTAAAAACAGAACTACCAGAGAACCCTACCCATATGGGACATCTGGAAATCCTGCCAAATTCCCTTTTTCCAGATCAAATCATCCCAGTCCCATTTAGTTTTGCTTCCAAAATTCAAATTTGTAAACATCAAAATGCACCATTAAAGGAAGCAAGAACCGCAGTGGCATGCATATGTAGCTAAGCATCTAGGGTAACTTAGAGTCAAACTTTCCTAGGAAAAAGAGAATAAATAAATGGCTTTTTTGTCTATTTCTTTCTAGCCTTAGAAATCTATGAAACAGAACCAAACACACCAACATATATTTGAGTATCCAATGGATTTTTAGCACTGACACAGGCTCTGTGGACCAAACAAGTAATTTGAGTTTTGTAATGTGCTTGAAATACGCACATATAGGATCTGTCTCAGGGGTGTCAGTGGAGCTATGTACTGGCAATTGACTCAAGCTTCCCATTCCCCCAGGGCTTCAAATGTGAGCTTTAGGTTATTTCCCCTAAAGAAAGTCTTTGATTGACAGAAGATGTTCATCATTCAAATTTAAGCTTCTGTCTCATTACAAGCATCCCACCTACAGTGCACTTTAAATGAAATAGTTTTTATAAATCCTGTAATTATCTTATGAAAAGCCCAATTACATTGCATTGCTTTTGTATTAAAAGCATTCATTTATTAACCATAAACATTTAAAATATACCACAATTATTTATAACCCTGTTGTAAAGTTGGGAAGTGGCCCAGGGCCTCTCTGAACCTCTGGGAGGCCCTGTGTGTATAAAACCCTGTCTTGGCGTCTGAGCCATTCAGTAAGAAGCCACAGGCTTCCATGGGTGGCACTATGCCAGCATCCAAAAAAAGCAGGGTCTGCCTTTATTGGCTTGATGCTTTGATGGCCTTTGATCAGGTCATTGTACCAGAGCAGCCAAGATAGAGGGCAAGATGTGGCCTTTCGGTAACCTTCCTTCTTTGTGTGAGAGTAAGACAAGTTAATTGGGCTTGACAGTACAGATGACCCTTTCAAGTCAGGTAAAATGAGACTGTTGTGCTTTTCACAGGTAGATAACCATTCATATTGCTTGTACTGTCTATGGGAAGAGAAAGGGGCTTGTTTGTTTTAAATGTTTTTCAAGGAAGGCAACAAAGATTCCCGGGGGGTTGCCTGGCCAGCTCTATTTAAGGAGACAATGGTGCCATTTGAAGGGTTTGAGACACATTGAAAGGTAGAGAACACACTCCCATTGATAAATTATTATTATTGATAACCCCTTCTTTGTCCTCCGTTTCGCATAATTGTCAAAGTTCAGACTATGGGACCCAGTAGACTCACTTTAGAGCTCTCTTTCGGAAGCTACCTCTGAAAAGGGGTCCAGCCTTTCTGTGTTTTAGTAGTGACGGAATGTCCTGGGCAACCCCAGCTGGTATTGTTGACACCTTTTTAAGCAATTTGTTTTGCTCACAATATATTCTAGAACTCTTTTTCCCTTTGCATTAGTTCGATTCTCTTTATGAGCAACACCAATGACCATGCATGTGTTTCCAGGGGAAAAGAGAAATCGTCTGCGAGATCTTTCCTATGAGAGGAGCAGTCACTCTTCTCACTCGGCAAGATTTCCATGGTTGGAACATGGCACCATCTTCTCCTCTTCCCTGTAGAAAACCAAAAACTCACAGGCCACTTTCAGGGAGTCCAAGGCCCCTTAAGGTGGTATCACTTTGGTACCCACTATTCTATTTTCACCTGTGTTGGTCCTGTTCTAGTTTCAGGAGAACAGAACCTAATTTAGAAGAAAGAAAAGGAGAAAGGGAGAGAGGGAAGAAGATAACAGGCTAGTCTCAGTGGAGGTTCTTAGGTGGCTGCAGTGGGTTTCTGCTCCCTGTGAACACAGCCCTGTCGTTGGAGGCACAATCTGTGGACTGATGTCATATGTCTTCCATTAGTAAAGAGAGATTTCCAAATAACTCCAAGATTTACCAGTAAAATAAAAAATAAAACTGACTTTTGTTGCATAGCACCAATGGAATTTCATCGTTACAGTATTGGCAGGGCTTCAGAAAAATAGTTTTGTCCATTTATTGTTCTAGGCTTTGTGAATAGGTAGCATTTCTTGTGGAGAACAACCTGACAATGCTTACCAAATGCCAGACCATACAATATCCTGTTTTTGGAAACTTACCTTAAGGAAACAATTTAAGAGGAGAAAATCATATTATTGGAAAGTATCTCTAAATAAAGGGAGATGCTTAGAGCAGCATTATGTATACTATTCGAAACTGGAAAGAATCTAAATTTCCAACAATAGAGGCTAATTAAGCAACTATGAAAATATTAAGTGTGGTGAGTGGACATGGAAAAACATTGATGAAACATAAAGTAAAAAATAATGTAAAATTCTATATACACAAAAAACTACAGAGGCTGGCCTGGTGGTGTAGTGGTTGAGTTTGTGTGCTCCACTTTGGCAGCCCAGGGTTCGCAGGTTTGGATTCCAGGAACTGACCTAGCACTGCTCATCAAGCCACACTGTGGTGGCATCTCACATAAAATGGAGGAAGATTGCCACAGATGTTAGCTCAGCAACAACCTTCCTCAAGCAAAAAGAGGAAGATTGGCAACAGATGTTAGCTCAGGGCCAATTGTCCTCACACAAAAAAAAGAAAAGACTACAGTCATGAAACAATTTTTGTGTATATTGAAAAGGTCTGTAAATAAACGGAAATGAATTCTTTGGTTTTTTTTTTTTTTATCTTTTAGAATTTCCTGATACAATACTTCAAAGCTGATTTAATCACAGATGATTTAGGAGAAAATTAATTCATGTTTACTGAATGAGTGGTTATTGCCAGGGGTACATTTTCTTATATCATTAGAGATAAGGAGATGGTAGGAGATTAGTTTAGCTACCAAACATTCCATAGAAATTCTTTTGTTATCCAAAGTTTCAAGTGTGGTGTACCCAATAAACTTGAAAAGACTAGGATATTAGAGTCAGCATCTTCCCTTCATGGCATGATCAGTG